AAGAGGCCTCCACTCCAAGCCGGGCCCCTACCTCAGGTAATTTTCATTACACCATCTCCTAACTTAGTGGTGTCTGGAGAAACTTCCTGGGGTCTAGGCCCTGATGAAAGACTTGTATTGACCAGAGTGGCTCAAAGAACCCCCTTATCCCCATCCGTGTCACAGGCACTCACAATTCTATCTGCCCAAAAACCATACAGAGAAGCCACCCTATGTGTCTGGTGCTATTTCATCCAGCTACAAGCAGGAGCCAGGAGGCTGGCCTCTCCTGGATCTCATTAGGGGCGCTTGCCCAGAGGCTGTGTGGGCACGTGCCTGCTCCCACCGCGCCCCCTCCATGGCCCCCTCTGGCTCCGGATGCGTCATCATGAAAGCTTGAGCCGCCCGGATCAGGTCCTCTTCCCGCAGGCCTGGGACAGGCACGGTGGGGATGCCAGCGATCATCATGGCCAGGGTGAGGATGCAGATGTCAGGCTGGGAGCCGGCCTCCTTCCCCCCTGCCTCAGAGGACGTCGGTAGAACCCCTGGTGACAGCCCACACAGCAGCAGGGGCCCGGGCGTGCCGGGGCCACCCAGGTGGGGAGCTCTGCTTCTGGAGCAGCCATCCTCCCAGCCCAAGCTCTCCGGCTGTCTTGCGTGGGGGAATTTGTGGTTGTATCGGCCATACTCCTTCCGCTGCAGTGTCTCCCAGCTAGTCCCCCCAGGGCAGCCCCTGGCTTCCGGCACCGCCAGGGCCAGGCCCCAGGCCTGGCCAGCAGGTGCCACCTGCTCAGCTTTCTGGCTCAGTGGGCCTAGTCCACTAGAGGCCACCACCACTGGCTCTATAGGACTATAGAGGCCAAGGGATGAGCCTGGAGAAACAACCCCACCTGTAGAGACAGGAATGAGATGGAATGTTATTCTTGGTGTCTTTCAGGAGGCCCTGAGGGGCAGGGCATAGGAGCAAGAGCACTGGAAAAGGAGCAATTAAGACCAGCCCCACAGGGCTGTCTAGTGGTTGGGAACTAGGTGTTTTACTCGTATGCACACCCCCAGTCCCCAACACCGAGTAGGTACTAGAGAAGTGTTTGTTGAATCAATGACTGAGTTAGCAGGTAGCTACTGGCAAGGACTTTTGGAATGGCTTTCTTCAGAGAATTGACTCCAGGGCCAGCCCAAAAATGTCCAGCAGAACCTCCACTTCCCCAAAGCCAGGAAACAAGTTCTCAGGGAAAGTTATGGTACCCCCTCCAGTTTCAGGAGTCCCTCTCTCACCTTGGCTGGAAGGCAGAAGACCTTGATGAGTTTGTGGAGACATGAAATAGGACATGGCTGCCCCAAAGCCCCCATTTGTGAGGGAACAGTCGTCTGCCTCCTGTCCTACCCTTTCCACCATTCTAGAATGTCACCTCATAGTCCCTCCTCTTTACACCTGGAACCCACCTCACAGCACTGACCTGTTCATTCTAGAACCTGTATATGATAATGGCATGGGGTTAGAAGAGTGCTGGACCAGGAACTGGACATTCTAGGTTCTTACCTCTACCTTGGCAAGTCACTTGGGACAATTTTGTTCCTTGATACTCCCCTCCGTAAGGTGGAAGTAATGACTACCCACTCCCTCACCAGAAGTTGTGAGGATTAAATGAGATTATCTGTAATGGAAGCAAAGGATCAGAGATACAAATAAAGAGGTGAGTGCTTTGTGCTCTGCAGTATGAGAGGAGTTCTCTGCACTCATTCCTTTGCTGTGTGACTTTGGAATACATTGCCACCTCTAGGCTTCGTTTTCCCATCTGCAAAATGAAATCGTTGGTCCGGGGCACTGGGTCTCATGCTGGGATGCACATTAAATTCTCTGGTGAGCGCTTAGAAATCCTGATGCCCAGCCTCGTCCCAGACCAATTAAATCAGAATCCCTGGGTCAGACCCAGTTAGCAGTATTTTTCAAAGTTCCTCAAGTGGTTATAATATATGCCAAAGTCAAGACCTCTATTCTAGGGGAATCCTCCTCAATCCTGGCTGAGCTTCTACAAAAGAACAACGTCTAGGCCTAATCCTCCAACAAATGGAATGGGAATCTCTGGAGATGGGGTTTGGGGCATCAGCTCTTTAGTTTATCCCACATAATGCTAATGAGTAGCCAGGCTAGGAACCAATGGTCTAGGTGATGTCCATAATGCTCTGTCTAGGGGCACCCGGGTGGCTCAGTCGGTTAAGTGCCTTTGGCTCAGGTCATGATCCCCGGGTCCTGGGATAAAGCCCCGCATCGGGCTCCCTGCTCTGCAGGAGAGGCTGCTTCTCCCTCCTTCTGCCCCTGCTCCTGTGCTCTCTTTCACTCACTCTGTCACTCTGTCTCTCAAATAAATAAAATCTTAAAAATAAATAAATAAATAAAAATAGAATGCCCTGTCTTGCTCTGACCTGCTGACCCACAGCGATTCTAGAAGAAGTGCCCCTCACGGACTTCCAGGGCAAGGAGACCCTCCAGTGATCGGTGTCAGCATCGGCTGTGTTTATTTCCAGGCCTGGCTGGCCGCAGTATGGCCAGCTTCAGACCAGCCACAGCTCCAGGGCCAGGCCACGCTCCTGTGGCCCTGTTTCAGGGCGGCTGCGGGCCTTTACTCGTACTTGCAGAAATCCTTAAGTCCTTTCGGCAGGTGGAGCCCATCAATGGCCAACCGGTGTACCACGCTTTTCTGGATGACTAGGCGGCACAGGGTCTGCAGGGATGGCACTGTGGAGAGAAGGCTGTCAAAGGCAAACTGAACTGGAGGGGGGTTCTGAGGCTGAGACCCAGAAGATCTAGGTCCTGGTTCTCCCTTTGTCATTAACTTGGGCAAGTCCCTTCTGCTCTCCAGGTGCAGCCTGTGTCACAGGGCTGTTCATGTGGTTGACATAAGCACCTCTTTCGAAACCTCCACAACGCAGCAGCCCTATTTCTATTTTAACCCTCCCTTAGCAGTTGCTGGCGGGACAGGCAGTGCCTGATTCACCTGTGCACGCCCAGCCTCCAGCACAGGTCTGACACAAGACTGGGTTCTAGTTCACTGAATTCATAAAATGATCAGAGGTATAAATAAAGGGTTTAAGGGGGCAATAAAGGACCAGATCTCCCGAATAAGACACTCTCAATCTGGAGCCTATGATGCCTTTAAACTGGTATGCCCCAATCTAGGAGCATTTGTCTGATAAAAGAGCACACAATTTTCAAAGCAGCCCGGGTGTAACAGTTTAGAATCCCTGCCCTAGGTTAATACAGAAGATACCAGCAAAGCAACCTAATGGATCACAGCTGAGATGGCGAATCGGAGGCCCAGAGCCAGGGACTGACTTGTCCAAGATCCCAAGCAGAGGCAGAATTTGAAGTCAGATTCCCCAACTTCTAAACTGATGCTGGGCCGACCAAAGCCCTGCTAGCTGGTTTGGGAATCCTAGCAAGTTCCTGTCCCCGCACTGGGCCAGGAGGGGTCGCTGCTCAGGGGGTGGGATACCTACAGCCATAGTCGAGCTGGACCAGGCGCACGCTCTTGGTGGAGGCAAACACGTCCACCACTGCGTAGAGGGGCCGGGCTGCTGGCAGCCCCCGGGCGCTGGGGCCCATGTCCTCGCCGTTGATGACGATGTGCATGTCGGCGGTGCCGTCCGGGTGCGGGCAGAAAAGAACGCCCAAGCGGCTGCGGCGCGCGGTCGGAGGCAGCACGTTCAGCTCATACAGCTGATCCAAGAGGTGGCTGTAGAGCCCGGGCCGGCTGCGACCCACTAGGCGGTCGCGGGGAATGCGAAACTGCTCAATGCACACATACGGTTCCACCAGGAGAGCTGGGGGGCGGCTGGGGGCCAATGCCTCTGCCTCCGGGCGGTCCTCCCGGGACACTCGGTTGTGATGGCGCGTGATGGCGAAGACCCAGGTGTGGCCGAGGCTGACCAGGTCGGGCAGCGAAAACTCAGGCACGGCAGCCAGAGTGGCGGGGTCCAGCGCGGTCAGTCCGAGGCGCAGGTGCCCGCACCAGCCCAGCTCTTTCTCCTCGATCTCGACCAGGAATACCTGGCCCGGGGCCAGCGGCTCGCGACTGAAGCATACGCCGTGAGCGAAACTCTCCACGCGTGTGGCCCGCGTCCCGGAGGGGTCCACGCGGATGTTGGCACCGTGCACCTGGTGGAAGCGGGTGGGAGGGGGCTCGGGGCGCGCGGATCTACAGGCCGCACCCAAGTCCACGCGGTCGGAGACAGCACCCATCTCCCGGCCACGGGACAGGCTAGCGGGCGCCGGGCGCTATTTTGGGAGGCGTGCTCAGAGGGTGACCGCGGGGGCACCAAATAAGGTAACCCTCCCATCCCCCGACGGCCTTCCTCGAGGCTCTGCCCCGAGGTCCTAGCGCCGCTTGCTCAGCCATTCCGCTGGACCCGGGCTCCCGGGAGGCCGGGGCATCCTGGCCGCCCACGTCTGGGTCATCTGATGGCTGGCGCGCGCGAGAAGACCTGGGAGAACCGCGGACTCTGACCCCGCGCAGGCCGCCGCCTTCGAGCCACGGGTCCAGGGTGACCAGCGAGGCGCCGGAGGATGGCGGTCACGTGACGCCGGCACCCACGTGACTCCGGCTCCACATGACCTCCCGCGGCCGGGCCCCTCCTGGAGCGCGAGGACGCGGGGGAGCAGAGGTGAGGGCGCCCGGGGAGGCTGGAG